ACACAGACAGACAGACACACAGACACACACACACACACACACACATATATATATATATATATATATATGTGTGTGTGTATATATATATATATATATGATGCGCACGGTGGCAAAGCATAGAATCGGCCTCGCATTGACGATTCTGACGTTGACGTCCATCCTTGGCTGTCGGCCGTCTTCTGTAAATTTACGACGCTCGGGTAAAGGACTCGGAGTCAAGGGTACCTTGGTTTCATTACAAGGGCATCGGGCTGTAGGCCCACTTCATGAAGCCATCCTGTCCATGAGAATTCCTAGGAGTCTTGAAGCCTGTCAGTGCCGCGTTACCAGGACACGATAGCAATTGCAGTAGGATTGAGGGAGAGCAAACGAGAGACAAGACACATGTCGATTGATTCAGTCCGAATGTCTCAGGCTCGGCGCCGTCGCCGTCGTTGGGCTTGTGAACGTTCGCGATGTTGGCAAAGTCATCCTCAAAACACGAGCTGACGAGCTGCTAAGCCAACTGCACCGATCACATGCCGCGACAAGATGCTGCAAGAAGCGCTGTGCTAGGGGAAGACTTCTACCGCGAAAGGGGCAAACTGCTCCAATTGACTCAGTCAAGGTGAACGAGGTTGAAGCTGCGACTACGGTTACGACTCATCCAGACTTTCGAGCGAAGCTTTGCTCACTGCACTCGGTGAAGCTGTCCTGAATCTCCCCCTCCATGCAGTCTTCACGTTCCCGCTTCTCTTCCTCACTTCGCACGATCGCCAGAGTAGGCACGAGCCGGCCCTTAACCCCTAGCACCCTAAACCCCACGACACCTAAACCAGAACCCTAAACCCCCAATAGCCCCGTAACCCTAGACAATAAAACACCGAAACCCTAAACTCCAAAACACCTAAACCCAGAACCCCAAAACTCCAACACCACGAATCCTTGATTCACTGGTGCTCTGACAGCTTTGCCCAAGCCTGGAGTTCCAGATCCCTCTCCAGCTCGAAGAGGTTCGACAGCAGGGTCTTCAGCTTGGTTTGGACCTTCCCAAAATGGTAGCAACAGCATCTAGTATGTGTATATGCATTTACATGTGTATATATAAATAAATAAATAAATAAATATATATATATATATAAGTATATACATATATAAATATATACATATATAAATATATACATACATATATACGTATATAAATGATAGTGTGTGTTATTTATATGTGTATACACATATGCACAACTATGCTGCGCTAGCTTCAGTGAGCATGTCTTCTCCTTGTTGCTGCTGTTGCCAGGTGGTTCTCTCAACGCCGGGAAAGGGACGTGTGTGGGTGTCACATCGCACTACGGAGCGTACTGCCCGGAACATCGAAAACATTGCCTTCAATGTCTGGGTTGGGACGGGGAGAAAAGGCAGGAGTGAATGATACGCTCTGCAATACCAAACTCCTTTGCTGTTTGCATGCTTTAAGTTGGCTTCCTGGTGGTTGTTAGTTGTTTCTTGGTGCTGTTGCTGTTGCTCTTGTTGCTGCTGCTGGCATTGTAGTAGTAAGTGGTAGGTCAGTAGGTGTTGTTGCTGCCGCTGATGCCGATGCTAGTGTCGTTCTTGTCGCCGTGGTTCTTGTGGTGGTTGTTGTTGTTGTTGCTGCTGCTGCTTGTCGTTTGTCGTTACTTGTTTATGTAAGTGTGGATTACATGATTTTATGTGTTGTCTTGTTCTTGTTGTTGCTATTGTTGTTGGTGGTAGTGGTGCTGGTGGTGGTGGCGGCGGC